GCCTCTCTAGGACGAACCTGTTTATTCTTCTAGCAGTCTATGGTATATTCAACATTCTTCTCCAGCACCACAGCTAAAAGGCGTCAATTCTCCTTCTATCATCCCTCGTCATTGTCCAGCTTTCTGATGCATAGCATGTAACTGCAAAGAGCATGGCCTGGATCAGGCACACCTAAGTCTCCAGAGTGACATCATTGCTCTTCAGTACTCTGGAGAGGTCCCTGAAGCCTTGACTTCCCCAATGCAATTCACTTTTGATTTGCTGGCTGCTGGTACCCAGAGTGTTGATTGTGGAGCCAAGCAAACTAATGGGTAACACTACAGAATATTTAACTGTGCTCATGTGAAACCTGTAAATACACACAAGAAGCAATTTTTGAAACAGAACAAAGGAATATCACATGGTTTCAAAGTGGGCAATGTGTATGTTAGTGTTATATCCTTCCATCATACTTTATCAATCTGTATGCTGAGCAAACAATCTGAATAGCTATACTGTATCCAGCTCCAGTGGCTTAGTGGCAAAATGCTGAGCTACAATCCTGAAGGCACACAGTTCGGGGCCACTAGCTGCTCTGTGGGAGAAGGATGGGCAATCTCCTCCTGTGTGATTGATAAACTGCCTCTGAAAACCCACCTGTGGCTCAGCTATTGGTCAGTTCCAACTCAATGGTACACAACAACAACAACAATTATACCAAGAAGAAAGTAGCATCAGTACTGGAGGAAGACCTGTCAACACCTTGGAATATGCAGATGACACAGCCTTGTTTGCTTAAAGAGGATGTTGAAGCACTTATTGATGAGCATTAAAGATGATGCTTGCAGTGTGGATCACACTTCAATATAAAGAAAGAAAAATCCTCACACCTGGACCAATAGTAGCACCATGATAAATTGTGGGGGTGGGGGGCGTTGAGGTTTCTCCAAGGATTTCATTTTACTTGGATTGACAGAAAATCAACAACCATGGAAGTAACAGGATATCAGATAACATACTGCAGTGGGTACATCGGCTGTGAAACAAATACCTCTTAGAGTATCAAACCAGCAAAGACGGCACCTTGAGGACTAAGCTGTGCCTGAAATGTCATGGTCTTGTCAATCGCCTCATATGCAATCAGAAGTCAGACAGTGAGTACAGAGGACTGAGGAGGAACTGAGGCGTTTGGTTGATAATGTTGGCAACAAGTACTGACCAAACTAATGTCCGCCCCAAGAATCAATCAGTCTGGGAAGAGTGAAAATAATAGAAACTCCTTAGAAGCGAGGGTGGTTGACATTTGGCCTCCCCCACTTTGGACATTTGATCATGAGGGACTCTGCCTGGAGAAGAACATCATGTTTGGTATAGTAAAAGGCCAATGAAAAAGAAAAAAGATCCTCAACAAGACGGACTGACACAGTAGATACAGCAGTAGACCCAAACACAGCAGCGACTGCGGGCACAGAGCAGGATGGGGCAGCGTTTCAGGCTGTAGCATGAAAGTCAGAAACAACTCGATGATACTCAACAACACCACCACATTAACCACTGGCACCCCTGGTAATGCAGTTAAAGTGCTTGACTGCTAACTGAAAAGTTGTAGGTTTGAGCTCACTCAGAAGAGCCTCAAAGGAAAAGCCTAGTGATCTACATCCCAAAAGTCAGCTGCTGTAAGCTTCATGGACACACAGTTCTACTGTGACCCAGACCAGGGCCACCAAGAAATGAGTGAACTCAATGGCAACTGATTTGCTTCTGGGTTATACACAATTACCATTAAAGAAGGGAGTTCTGGTGGTCTAGTGGGTAAGGAGTTGTGTGGCCATCCCAAAGGCAAGCAAGTCGAATCTACCAGCTGTTCGACAGAAGAAAGATGGATTTACAGCCTCTGAAAATGCCCTGGAAGATTAGCTATGAGTCAGTTCTTGGCTCCATAGCAATGACTTTGACATTGACTATTACATAAGTGAGGTATCAATTTATATAAAGTTAGCAGTCACAGCTATATCCCTTCTCTGATGTCCTATCCTCTTTTAAAGGAGAAAGTGTAGGCTTGCCCTCACTCTCTGGGTATGTTCCAGGAACTTTTTATAATCACTAAGCCTCTCCTTTCTCTTGCCAGCCCTTGACTCCAATCCCCAGGTCTCTAGTTTGACACTTTTAGAGTTAGCACCACACTCAATCCCTCCAAGCCTGGATGCTCGCTCAGAAAAGCCCTTGGACATTCAGTCTCAATATGAAATATGCTCACTAAGGTCCTAAAACAAGGAATGGTTTAAATACGTATAGATCATACATATGAATGAATGTCGTTTACTGTGAAAACTCCACTGCTTCTAATATCTGTGGGAAATAGGAAAAATTAAATATTCATGAATACTTCCTCTGGATCTATTAAGAGATTGTTAATAAACTTCTAACATAACAACTTTTCAAAATGCCTTCACATCTTTTATTTTACTCAATAGCTCACTAGGATGTAAGTGCTACTGGTATCTAAACACGAAGAGAAGAACTTGAAATCTGTTTCTTCACTATTATTTCCCCAGTGTCTACAACAGTGTCTGGAACATGGCAGGCATTTAGGAAAAGAACTGGCTGAGCAAATGGCACGAGTCATGCATGAAAGACTTTATTCTGTGCACACTTACACACAGAGAGAGAGAGAGAGAGAGAAATCTGACATTCCCAAAACTATCTGTCCTAGCCTTCATTAATAGTTCTTTTAAAGAACAAACTGGGGAGGAGGGTGGAGAAAATGGTGCAGCAATGAAGGAGTGAAAGCCCAGAAACCCTGTGAATGTTCATTGAAACTAATAAAATTTAATAATAATAAAAAAAGCTAATAAAATTTAATTTAAAAAAATTAAAATGGAGAGCTAAAAAAAAAATAGTTCTTTTAGCTCTTTTGCTATATTGCTCTGTGGAAGAAAGATGAGCAGTCTCCTTCCATGTGATTTACTGCCTCAGAAAATCCACTGGAGGGTCAGCTATGAATCCATTCTGACTCCAGGGCACACAGCAACAACTTACAGAATGGCACTCAAAACTCTTCACAGTCTAGGCTTAGGCTAATTCTCCATCCTTCTCTCTCACTATTCCTGCAAACAAACCCTTAGCTCCAGCTGGGCTGGTGTACTCATTATTTAGCCAACTTAGAAACATTCGATGGTGAAGCACACTTATTGAATATTTATTATGTAAGTAAAAGTTCATTCTTTCTTTGAATAAATATTTCTTGAACATTACTCTGTCGGGTAATATACTGGTGCTGGGATGGATGCAATGGTGAGCAGGACAGAGGTCAATGGGTCATAGAGGGGAGACAATAAGGACAGGGTGGCTCCAGGTCAAAATCCTCCCAATCTTCCACTAAAATGTCCAGGTGGCAGGATAACCCTGAGGGCTGACCAATGCCAGCCAGGCTGCAAGTGAGGAGCTCAGGACAAAGGAATGGCTAAGAGGAGGAGGACTGCAGTGTGGACTCTGGCCTCTGGGAAACTGTGAGATTCAACTTGAAAATTAAAGGATGTGCATACCAGAGAAGTGGGTACCTAACATCCTGGGTAAATGAGAAAAGGCAAAAAGATAGGAGGTAAAAGACAACAGCAATAGCACCAGCTTATTTTGTATAAAAGGCTCATTCACCATCTATTCAGCAGAGAGTACTGCCCAGGCTCTGCAGTGGATACAAAAATGACTCATACTCAGCTCCTACCATCCAGGGATTTCCATGCAGCCAGGGAGGAAGGATACGCAGGTCCTTGGTGATCATTAACACTACAGAAAAGTGAGCTGTCCCTTAAAAAGGGATTCAGAGAAGAGAGAGAAATGTGCACGCCTGGGCTCATCTAACATTATCTAGAAAATGTTTGTTACATAATCTGCCTATGTCCATCGGAACATCAATGTACGTCACGTTGTTGTTGTTGTTGTTGTTGTACCCTTTCTCAAAGTGCATTCGCACTTCCTCATTCTGTCCTACGTAATCAGCGACGCAAGAAGAGTAGGCTAAGATTGTGTTTCCCAGATAAGCAAAGTGAAGCACAAATCTTAAGATCGGCTTGGGTCAGGAGCAGAGCACGGGATCCCCACGGGCTGTTTCTGCTGCGTGTTTAGAGCTGAGCGCACCTGCAGCTAACAGCTGGGAGGTGGAGAAATCAGGCAGGACAGTTTGCACTTATAAAGGCAGCTCTAAAGGGTTCGGAGAGCGGACACGAACCAGTGACACTTCTCTACTCGTTCCTCCTCTCCAAGCCTGCCAGTTGCATCCCAACAAGTTCGTCCCAGATACTTTGCGCCCACTTTGCGTTTCCTTTCCACTTATTTCACCCAGGTGCGTAGTAGCCAGGTGCGTGACCAGCTGTCCTGGGTATGTCCAGCATTGCACTCTGCTCGGCTTGCACCAGGGAGTTAACAAACATCGGCTGGTTGAAGGGACCCCCTCGGGCCTCCTCAGCTTAATAAGGGCACCCTGAATTCTCACGTCCTTCCCGCAGTGGAGAGGGCCTCTCTCTGCTCGGGCCGCCCTCGTAGCCCACAGGGCTCCCTAAGTGCAGGGACGCGGGGCGGGCGAGCGCTGGGTTCTGGGATCCCAACGCGTCCCCCCTGCGGCTCGCATCCTAGCTGGGAAGTCGGGGCGCACGACCCAAGGGTAAGGGGCGTGGAAGCGCTTTGAAACTGCAAGACGACAGTGAGTCGTTAGATGTTTTCTATGCAAAACAGGAAGAACGTGATGAAAACAGAAACAGGGAGAGTCCGGCTCGCTACGGCCGAGGTGACCCGGCGGGGCCCAAAGGCGTCCAAGGATCGACCAGATGCATGGGGAAGGGGGCCTTCCCCAGGACGGGGACGCACGGGCAGCTCCGCCGCGAGAAGTACCCAGGCCCGGAGGCCACGCGAGATCTGGGGTCGGGAATCTCGTTGCGTTGCCTAGCGACGCGGAGGACGCTCGCGAGCACCCCCTCCCCTCCCCAGGCTCATTAACCCCGGCTGGAGCCGCGAGTCTCCTACCATGGGGGACGAAGGCGGCGGCCGCAGGGGTAGGACCACCAGCGAGCTGCAGAGGCTGAAGAAGCAGGCGATGGAGTACTACCGGCAGAACGGCGTGCCGCTGCAGCTGGAAGAGCTGCTCAACTCCACCTTCTACCTCCAGCCCGACGATGTCTACGGGCACCTGGTAGGGACCTGGGACGGACGCCCTCTTCCCGCCAGCCCCTCTCCCCCTCCCCCTCCCCCCCCCCCCGCCTGGCGCTGCGGCAACTCGGCGGGGCCTGCGCATGCGCGCGCCGCGGAGCCGGCTCCGCGGGAGGGACGAGCATCCTCGGTCACAGTGGCCGGAGGAGGAAGGCTTCGGCCACGCTTCCCATGCGGAGGACCTGCCGGGCCCACCGAGCTTTCAGTAGTCTCTTCAACTCCACGGTCCTGTTTTTTATTGCTCTCCGTTTGAGCACGATGTATAATGACCCTACGAACAGCACAATCTGAACCCTGCTCTGTCTTGTGCCGTCTTCACATCTCTAACACACTCGATCCCATTGCTGTCGTCACTGTGTCAATCCAGCTCATTGAGGGTCTTCCTCTCCTTCACCGTCCCTTCACTTTTCCAAGCATGATGCCCCTCTCCAGAGAGTAGCCTCTCCTAGCACCATGACCAAAGTAAGGAAGACCCAGTTTCACCATCCTTGCCTCTAAAGAACACTTTTTCAAGTGTTTTCCAAGTGCTGCACTTTTTCCAAGACATATCTGTCCATGGGAATGTCCAGTGCTCTTCTGTAACACTACAATTCAAAGGCATCAGTTCTTTTGTAATCTTTATTCATTGTCCAGCCCTCAGAATTGAAAGTAAATGAAAAGATCATGGCTTGAATCTAGTGTACCTTAATCCTCAAACTAACATCATTGCTCTTCAGTAACACTGCGCAGGTCGGTTTAACAATCTGCACCAACCCCCTTTGGACCGTCCCTCCAATGAGCTGATTAACTCAACAATGACCATCATTCTCTTTGAATGATGCCTCCTCTAACTTTTCCTTCAGGTCCTGGGAAAGAACAGATCTTTCAGTGTAAGGTTCTTAGTGCTCACACCCCATACTCCCTTGCTGTCCTGCACTGGATTCCCTGATAGGACCTGAAGTTTACTGCTTTCTTCAGCTTTGCTTATCCTGTTCTCTCCACCAGAAGTTCCTGCCCTCAATTCCTCCTCGTTTAGCCTGTTGAAATACCACTTACCTTCCAGCGTGAACTTCGGGTGTTTCTTCCACACTCTTGCTTTACTAAAGGATGTTTTTGGGGATGAGGAAGACCCCTATAGGTAGTAACAATACTGTTTATCCCTCCACCATAAAATTAAGGCTTGAAAAGGTTAGCTTGTGAAATCAGACTGGTCTGGGTTTAATGCTTTGCTCTGCCACTTATTAGCTGTGTTAGATTGCTATGTAGGTGGGGCTGACTAAACCTTGCTGCCAGTATGAAATGCACCTGAAAACAAGTCCTTTCAGGACTTAGCCACATGGCTCTCTATGATTAAGACCTTGGCTAGCTAGCATTATTCAAACAAAGATGCTGGCTTGGAGCACATCATTTTGGTTGGAAGCTAGCAAGAGATCAGATAGAGAAAGACCCTGGCAGATTTAAGACCTCCAAGATGTGAGAAAGAGAGATAGATACCCACCTTCCTCAAGTGTTCCACCCATCTCGGCTCAGGCACTAGACATGTGAGAGAAACTGTCTTAGATATTCTGGTCTCGGTCAAGCCTCTAGATGACTACATCTAAATGAACAGCCCAAGGCAAGACCAATTCGGGGGAAATTTGGGAGACTAAAAAGAATTAATGAATGTAAAAAGAATAGGAGTGGTGTGTAAACAGCAGCATCTCACTTGTTAACTTCACAAAAGGTAACAGTCTCCAATTGCACCATCCACCATACAAAATCAAGTCCTGTTAGGTAAGACTTGGAAATCACTTCCCATAAGGTCAGACGTGGTCTCTCTGCTCCCACACTATTAGTTCTGCTAATTCCAACACCAGTCATATTGCTGTACTACAGGGTCCAAAATCTGCTGCAGTAACTTCAAAGACCTCATAGAACCATATTCACAGTTATAAAGGGTTTTTTTTGGGGGGGGGGAGTGAGAATAACAGGTTATAGTTCAGATTGGGAAAAAGATAAAGATACAGTTCCTCAATCAAGACATCTTCCCAGGTGTACTTACAGGTTTTTCAGCCTTGAGCCTGGCTGCTTTAGGCCGGGGTTACAAAGCGTGCTCCCTCAGTCCTGCTAATTACAGCATCTCCAGCAAGTCTCAGTGAAGGCTCCTGGATCATGCTCCCTAAGACAGTGGTCTCACGTCAGCCCTGACACATGTTAGTCCCTGATTCTCTGATGAGGCTGCTACTGCCACTTTTGTGTAGGTCCTCATCTGATTTGGGCAGGAATCTCTAGCCCTGAAGGACGTGTGCTGCATTCACCACTGTTGTGTCTTTGTTGGTAGAGAAATTTCCTTCTTCTGCTACTAAACCCGCTCAGTGTAAGTCAGATAGGAAAACTGACCAATCTCCACCGCAAGTCATTTACACACCCCCTACTTTTCATGTTCTCTCCCAGCCTTGTAGAGAAAGTGAAAATCAATAGCTAGAAAAGCCGTTTGTACAATAAACTCATGACATCACAAGTACAATGTTGTTTCCAAGATAAATGAGATGCGGCTTTGTGATTTTTCTTGATTTTTTTTTTTTTTTACGTCTTTTGAAGGCAAACTGCTTTTCTAAACTTGCAAAGCCACCCACCATATGCAAAGTCGTGGGGAAGGGCGTGCTGGATGGACTGGGCCTCCCAACCCTCCAAGTGGAAATATTCTGCACTGTCCAAAACTTCCCCAAGGTATGAGGCCACTTGAAGTGCATTCTCTTCAATACACATGGGCCCCCTTGAGTTTATTAGCAACACCTGCCTAAATGGTCACCAGGAGTTGGAATTAACTCAGTGGCAATGACTAGCACCACCTTGTCTAAATTGTAGAAAACTACTGCTTTGAAAGCCAGTGTTTATGAAATACATACTAACACTTTTCATAGCGAGTCACGTAGAGAAGGCATGGAAGCTACAGCCAGCCCATCAAGGCTGCCTTATCATTAGGTGTCATTTTGGTACAGATATAACTACTATTTGAAGATGATCAAGACAGAAAGAAAGTGAAGCACATAGATTTTTAGGTGCTGGTATCAGTTCTGCACCCACATGAAGATTATTGATGTTGTTATGTACCGAGGAGTTGGAACCAACTCATGCCTGACCCTCCATCAAATTTACAGAGACAGTAAATTGCACAGGAGATTGCCTCTCTCTCTCCCGCAGACCAGCTGGTGGATTCAAACCATATGCCTTTGGCTTGGCAGTGTAGCTTCTTACCACTAGGCTATCGGAGCTCCCTTGAAGATTTGTAGATTCACATATATAGAAAGAACTCTGGTGACATAATGCTTTGTATGTTGTGCTGCCAACTGAAAGGTCAATGGTTCAAGTCCACCAGCAGCACCATCATATAAAGAAGGGTAGGCTCCTCCCATAAAGTTTTGGAAGCCAATAGAGGGTCACTGTGAGTCAGAATCTTACTTGACAGCAGTGGTTCTTTTTATGTGTCTGGAGATTTGTAGGAAGCTCTGGTGGCTTAGTGGTAAGAGGTTGCACTGTCAGCTCAAAAGCACATGGTTCAAATCCACCAGCTGCTCTCCTGGAAAAAGATGGGCAGTCTCCTCTCATGTCATAATGTGTTGTTGTTAAGTGCTGTCAAGTTGTAGGCGACTCATAGCGACCCTATGAGCGAAAGTCCTCAACACTTGTGTGTCTTTCATCCTTTCTCCAGGCTCATAGAGTTTCCAGAGGCAAGCTATTAAGGAAGTGGATGTCACTCCTGCTTCCAAGCTTGTTTTAATTGGGGAGCTCCACCAAACACTGTCCACCATGGGTAACCACTCTCGCACTTGACACATCAGTGTCCCAGTGTTCAGCGTCACAGCAACCACGAGTTATACTGCCTCTAAAATCCTGCTGGAGGGTCAGCTATGAGTTTGTGCTGACTTGATGGTACATAACGACAACAGTAATAAGCATTTATAGAACAGTAGGCCAATATGCACAAATAAGTGTTTTTTCCTAGATTTCATTGCTAATCGTAGGAGAGCTCTAGTGGCTTAGTGGTAATAAACTGCACTGCCAATGCAGAGATACATGGTTCGAATCTCTTAGCTGCCCCACAAGAGAAAGATGGGCAGTCAGTTCTCGTGTGGTTCACTGCTTCCGGAACCTGGTGGAGGGTCAGCTACGAATGTTTTGACTACAGTACACAACAGCAAAAATGCTAATCTTAGATTCTGTATTCAGCATCCATATTTGTTGTTACAAATACGTTTGCTACAGCCTCCTCAAGGAAACATAATCATGATGAAATCTGCTAGTAATGTTCATTTAGCTATTTATTGGTGAGATTGTGATACAAATGAAGTTCAATGTCAAGTTTTTTATAAGGGTATTTTAGCGAGGTAATAATTTTAAATGTTCCTTGAAGTTGGTTTCCACAATATTTTAACAGCTATAGAAATATCTCAAAGAAAATTATATATTCTCATTTCCCCCCTGGAAATTAGTGCTAAAATACCCTGCATGTTAAAAGCTGGATTCATTGCCTTTCCTATTTTCTGTGAGAGCTAGGGACATTGTAGACCCACGTTCTTTTCAGAACATATGTTCTGTGGTGATCTCATCTCACTTTGAAGTACGGGAGAACTCCCCACCTGAGTTGGTGGAAGTGGAGGAAATGGGAAGGAATGACGCCATCAGAACCGCCTTGCAGTGGGTCAATGGACCAATCAGCACAGAGCTTCAGGGCCTCAACCCTTCCAACCAGGCCCAGGTGGATCAAGTGCTCAGGTAATTCTTCCACTGCAATGTATATAATTTACTTTCCTTTTCACCTGTCATTATAACAGAGTCTCAGAGAGCTATTGGGTCGGGTTGGCTGAGAGATCAACTGAAGAAGCCCCACAATGTAACTTTTCTTTCCATCTGAAAACCCATTTATTAGAACATGACTGTGTAGGTTCCATCAGGCCTTTCAGGCTCTTTGCTTGCAAAGAGATTCCATTTTTTTTAAAGTTTTTTATTATTAATTTCAATGAAAATTTACAGAGACTTTGGATTTCCATTCATTCATTGTTGCACTGTTCTCCCTGCCCACCCTTCCCCCCTCCCAGTACCCTCTTCTCTTTGAAAATTAAAAGAAAAATTCTTTCATTGTTTTACAATCCCTCCCCCCAGGCCCACTCCACTGTGCAGCCTTCGTTTTGGACTCCTGTCATAACAATAATACCTAATCACATATCCCTTTTAAACAGTTCACTCCCTCATCTGTTTCAATGCAGTATACATTATTTATCCCATCTTTCTCAGTCTCCCCCACCAATCCCGATGTCAGTCTTGTTTTACAACAGTGGCACCATGCAGTATTTGTCCTTTGTGACTGAGATATTTCACTCAGCATAATGCCCTCCAGGCTCACCCATTTTTTTTTATTTTTTTATTTTATTTATTTATTTATTTTTTATTACTTTGTGTGGGTGTACCGTCAAATTAGATCTGACTGGTACAGGAGGATATTGCGCCTCCTTCTCTGGCAGAGCATCTGGTGGATTTGAACCGTGTTCCTCTGGGATTGCAGTGCAGCTTCTTGCCACTAGGCCACCAGAGCTCCCTGGCTCACCCATTTTGAATAATATTGCATGAGTTCCTCGTTTTTCAATGCAGCGTAGTATTCCATTGTGTGAATATACCACAGCTTCTCTATCCATTCGTTTGTTGATGGGCAAAGAGATTTCTTAAGAAACAGTAAAATGTTTCTCAGGAAAAAGATTAACTACTTTTTTTAGTTAATTTTTGGGTTTTTTAAATTTCTAAATGTGTTTCTTTTGCTTGTTTGTTTTTGCAGTGGTTTGCTAGCATTGTAGTCTTCATTTTTGCCACACTCAGCTTGTTTTTGCCAAGTCAACAATTCTGTACCTGTGCTTTCTCCCCCGTGCAGTTTGACCTCTCCACATCTTGCATCTGGTCAAGTTCCTCTCTTGACCTACAGTTATGCTGTAAAACTTTCTAATCCCCCATTTCACAAGCCCTGCCGCTGCCCCTTTCTTTTCTTTTTAATAAATTTTAAAAATTAAGGGTTTTTAAATAGTGGTTTGCTTACACTGTGTTTCATACTATTCTTTCACATTGTGTTTTATTCAATCATTCCCATTCATTATATTTTAAAGTTAATCAACATTGAACTACGCCCAGCATTACCTTGTCTGTCCGGATCCCCACCAAGTCATTCTCGTTTTCTTAACCCATCTCTCCCTCCAGCCATCAAATTGTGTGACCCTGGGTCTTCCCTCCTGCCCACCCTCACCCTTCAGCTCCTACATTCTTGCCCTTGGATCCTCATAAGCTTTTTACTAGTTATCTTTCTAATTCTACAATAATGGTCTTATACAGTATTTGTCATTTTGAGCATGCGTTCACTCAGCATGATGCTCTCCAATCCCTCCCGTTAGGTAGTAATTTTCAAAATCATTGCTCCTGAGTGCTGCGTAGTACTCTGTCATGTGAATGTACCACAATTTCTCAATCTATTTGATTGTGTTGGACATTTGAGCTGTTTCCATAGTTTTGCGATGATGAATAATGTTGCTATGAACATTGGTGTACAAATCTCCATTTGTGTCTCCGTTCTAATTTTCTTGGGATATATTCCAAGCAGTGGGATAGCTGGGTCATGTGGAATTTCTAGGTTTAGCTTTTTGAGAAAACACCAAACTACCTTCCAGAGTGATTGTACCATTTTACAATCCCACCAACGGTGTATGAGGGTTCCTATCTCCACTTCCTCTCCAACATTTATTCCTTGCTGTCCTATTATACTTTGACACTGCTACTGGAGTGAGGTGGTATCTCATTGTGGTTTTGATGTGTATCTCTCTTAGTGGCAGTGATTTTGAGCATTTCTTCATGTGTCTGTGGGCCTTCCGCATATCTTCCTCTGTGAAAATTCTTACCATGTCTTGTCCATTTTTTCCCTCTTTTTCAAATTGATATTTTTTCATTTTTTAAAAATTGATATTTTAATAAAAATTAACAGAAAGCTTGGATTTCCATTCATTCATTGTTGCACATTCCTCCTCCTCCCTGTTTTGCTTTTCTCTTTAAACAGAGTCTTTCATTGTTGTAGAATTTCTTCCCTCCCTCCTGCCTCACAGTCCACTTTGCAATTCACCTCTTATTCTGCATTGTTGTCATGCCAATAATATCTAATCATCTGGAATTTATCAATCTTTGGTCCTTTTGCCCATTTTGTAATTGTCTTCCCCATTCTTGATTTGCTGGATTGCTTCCTTTAAAAGTGAAAATAAGAAAGGGTCTTATCTCTGAGGTCCTGCCTGTTTGGAAATTTCAGTTCCTGCCCTTATGGTTGAAGGTGTGGCTTACCTATCTCCTCCTTTGCTTCCCTCAGTGCTTTGAAGGCACCAGCCTCTTTGGCGTCTGAATTAGTAAATCTAATGCAAATGTGTCTTTACTGTTTGTTGTGGAAACTTTTTTCCTGTTCTTTTTATTAAGGTATACTGAAATTTCATGTGACTGTACCTACTGGGATTTCTCAAAGTTTTGGGGTTCCCCCTACTCCTTTAAGCCACGGCTCCCCCAGCCGGATGGATTGACAAAGTGACTGTTACAATGAGTACATAGGTTATGAGCTTGGCCCAGGACAGAGCGAGGTTCAGAGCTACTGTTCATCGGGTCACTGTAAGTTGTAGTTGATTCAACAGCACCTAAGAACAGCTTTTTTATTTTTTACTAGTTTATTTACAAAGTTTGAATACAGGTTTTTAACACCAGTTCCTTCCCATTTCCCTCACCACACCCACCCATCAAATTGTGGGACCCCCTGATTAATCCCTGCCTCATCCACCCCCAAACACACACACTTCCTCACCCAGCTACCTTCACCCTCATACCTTAGATCACCATACTCATTCTATCTACAATAGTGGTTTTATACAGTATTTGTCTTTATGGGACTGAGATAGTTCACTCAGCACAAAAACTTTTAAGGAAAAAAAAACCCACAAAATAAATTTAATCATGAAATGCATGGAGTGCTACATTTCCCTGTGTACTTGTCTGCCTCTTTCTTCTTCTTCTTTTTCTTTTATTTTTTTTTTGTACTCACTATGTACTCTTGAATTTGTCTTTTGATGGTCATTTATTCACCAAAGAAAAATCCAGTAGCCCTTAATCAAATTATGTCTTCAAGTTTTACTATAAAAATGAAAACCGGCAAGAGCTCTGGTGCCCTAGTGGCAAGAAGCTGCACTGCAATCCCAGAGGTGTGCTGTTCAAATCCACCAGATGCTTTGCTGGAGAAGGAGGAACCATCTTCTCCTGTACCAGTCAAATCTGATTTGACGGTACACACACACACACACACACACACACACAATAAAAATAAAATAAATAAATAAATTTTTAAAAAAAGAAAACCAGGACTCAGATAATTTTTAAAATTAACCTCTATGTTTTCCATTCTTTTTTTTTTTAATTTTTTTTGTTTGTTTTTTGTTTTTTTTGTTTTCCATTCTTGAACACAGTTGTATAGTATAGCAGTGTCATTTTGGGGGGAGTTTGGAAAATAGCTGATTTGTTTTCTCAAGCGTCCTCATCTAAAGTCCTATTCCCTTGCCTTCAAGGGCATTCTTTGCAAATAAGGTGCAGGAAGATCTGGAGAGAAAAGCATTGGAAGATGTGCTAGAAGATACACCAGTGCTGACCCCTCTACCGCCAGTACCACTGCCACCTCCTCCGCTACCGCCCACAAAAAAGAAAGGTCAGAAGCCAAGTTGGTGACTTAGTGTTTTGAAGAACCCTTAGTGGCAAATGCGGGGGCCTGGACCCCATTCCCGAGCCAGAGTCCCTTTTTTGCCAACCTAGGTTAAGTGATGGTTACCAAGCCAAAGATGGGTGACTTAATCTGTAGTACTCAGGCCTGTTTTTCATTGTTTTTGTTCAAACATTCTTCTTCTATTCATATAGCCCTGGTGCATCCACTTGCCTTACAGAGGTAACTCGTGGTTGCTGTGAAGCTGAACACCATGCCCCTGATGTGTCAAATGTGAGAATGGTTACCCATGGTGGACAGTGTTTGGTGGAGCTCCCCAATTAAAACAAGCTTGGAAGCAGGAGTGGCATCCACTTCTGTAAACAGCTTGCCTCTGGAAACCCTATGAACCTGGAGAAAGGATGAAAGACACACAAGTGTTGAGGACTTTCATTCATAGGGTCGCTATGAGTCACCTACGACTCGATGGCGCTTAACAATAAAGTTCCCAGCCAGGCACGGTTCGTCCTCTACACACTGTGTTTGGTGAGCAGGGTTTTGCTCCGTTCTACTCTCTCCATTTTTATTTGTAAGATTAAAAAAGATTTTTCTCCTGGCAGTGTGATCCTTGCCACATTGCTAGAACCAGTGACAGTGTTACTAATGTGACATAGAAACCATTAAACAACCTCACACACACACACACACACACACACACACACACACACACGTGCCTTTCCATGCACTTAATCAAAAACAGCTCCTTATTTTTGTAGACATAATAAGGACAGCCAACATCCTGCCAGTTGTTACTAATAACATTTCCTTTGGAAACTATTGCCATTTTGAAGCAAATAATCTAATCCCTGCCCTTTCCTCCCCCCATTCCAACAGGTGGCTGCACTCCACCTTCTAGTATGATCACTCTGGAGTTACTGATAGCGTTGTAACAATGTCTATCTGTCTGTCTGTCTACCCGACTAGAGTATGATTCTTGAAGGATCATGCCTTGGTAACCTTGACATTGTCAGTATCTATCACAAGGCCAAACCCAATCATTAACATAAATGTGAGTTTGAAGAAGAGACCACCAGAACCATGGAGACAAGATCCCTTCATCAGTCACAAATAGGGATACGACACAGAGGTCCAGAGAGAGAACAGTCTTTTTCTTGGAAGGGCGGCCACCCAAGGACCTTCACTGGACTGTTCCTTTTTATCTGATAGAAACTGGAACTTAATCAAAGGGGAGAAGCAGGAAGACAGTAAATTGTTAATCACATAATGTATCTTACCTTCACTGGCTATCCGAACCAAGTCGGTCGGTATGGGGAAGAGGATAGGAAGGACACTGGACATTATATGGTGGACTCAGTGCTATCTGCTCGCAACAAATTAGAATGAAACATGAGTGAGAGTTCTGGCTGTTTGCTTAGATGTGGGAGGCATTTCCAAAGTCAGCAACAACATACAACTAAGCATTGCCTGGGGCTGGGCAAAGGGGAGTGAGTTAGACATACACAGAGATGTTCCGCAGAAAGATATGTACCCGCACTGGTGGAATACGTTCTTGTTTGCCCCTGAGTCAGAATCAACTCATTGCTGACCCTGCAGGGGCTTTTCAGAGATAGTTAATCCCATGGGAAGAAATTCCCCATCCTTCTCTCATGGAGCAGCTGGTGGATTTGAACCGCATACACACTGCAGCCTCATACAGCTAGGCCATCAGAGCACCCTTGGTGGAATGTAGTGAACTAAAATATTTGGAATGTGAAAATATGCCCCTGGAGACTCAGGTGCGCCTGATCCAGGCTATATATAGTCTTTAGTCTTTGCAATTACGTGCTATGCATCGGAGAGCTGGACAGTGAATAGGGATGATAGAGAATTGATGCCTTTGAGTTGTGGTGCTGGAGAAGAGTGTTGAATATACCATGGACTGCTAGGAGAACAAACAGGTTTGTCCTGGAGAGGATGAAGCCAGAATGTTCCCTGGAGTCAAGGATTCTGAAGCTTTGTCTGACATACTTTGGGCATGTTGCAAGGAGGGACTGGTCCTTGGAGAGGGACATCATGTTTGGGAGAGTGGAGGGGTGGCACAGGAGAGGAAGACCCTCGATGAGATGGATCGATTCTGTGACTGGAGCGGTGGGAATGAGTGCGTTGGAGATGGCTAGGTTCGCACAGGATAGAACGGGTTTAGGGCTCTTGTACATAGGGTCGCTATGAGTCACAAACAACTTGATGGCACGTAACAACAACAATAATATGCATACAATGGAATACTATGCAGTGCTGTGGAATAATAAAGAATTCCTGAAACATTGCACAACATGAATGAACTTGGAGGACATTAATGATGAGTAGACCCAATAAGCCAAACACAAATACTCTATGTGCCCACTGTTATACAGAAGCAAAGGGAAAGTATACAAACCGAATGAAATACACTTCAATGCTTGCCAGGGATCAGAGAAGGGAAAACGAAATACAGAGCTAAGAATTATCTGAGAGTTAGGGTGTAAATCTCATCTCACTGGTATCAAGTCAGAACCAACTCATAGCTCCACTGGGTTTGCAGAGACTGTAAGTCACCCAGAAGGAGACTGCCCATCTTTCTCCTATGGAGCAGCTGGTGGCTTTGAACCACGTACCTTGACACTGGCAGCACAATTCCTTACCGCTAAGCCCCAGAGCTCCCTAGGAGGTGGGTAGTAGTAAGCTAAATGAAAAAGGAAACCTGGGAGGTATGGTTGAGAATACATTGTTTCCAGCCTCCGTTTTCATCCTTATTTTTCACTAGGCTGTCACATCTGCAGTGAAAGCATTAAAAATACAGTTTTATTAGAGTCAAACTTCTTAATATATTTCCTCCCAGGGAGAAGGGATACCCTTATTGAGAAGCCAGTCTTGCCTGAAGAGCCCCCCGAACCTGTTCTCCGTGGCAGCATGGCCGTGGGCGCCGTGTCACTAGCGGTTGCCAAAGCCAGTGCCATACTGAGCAGCAAACCTCTGTACTTGAACTTGGCGCTCCTGAAGCACAGCCAGGTCGGTACCTATCACCTTCCATTATCAGAACCTATTAGTCTCTCAATGAGATTGAGCCCTGTTCTTCTTTCTCCTCTTGCTTTTCCTATATTTCAGGAACTGCCCTTAAAGTTGACTGTACCTTTGCTGATGGTATCTCTGCTCAGCTGTGGGAAGGCCTCTCCTGGGAAGCTGAACTTAATGAAAGAAGTGATTTGTATCCCCCATCCTGGATTAAGCGCCAGACAAGTACCTTACTTGATCTCAGACTGCTTCTTAGCTGTCTCTGCGTCTGTATCTGTACATTGCAGCATCAGTGAATTTAAGTGTGGCTCCCGGAGGCCTGTGATACTGAGGGAGAGGGAATGAATTAGAAAGTCATCAGGGGAAGGGAAGGGAAGGGGAAAGAAATCAGGAGGAGAAAGTCAGGACTTCACTCTCAAGCAAAAGGGAGCACATTCAAAAGGGAGCACATTCAAACCTCCTTATGTCTGTGACTCCCTTCTGACTCATTAGAGCAATTATTCACGCCCGTGACTCAGGAGAAGACATGGACAGGGTCAGGTGTGGTCATCCTGGAGGGCCCTTATCTCAGGGCGGGGTTGGGTTCTAAAACTACAGTGGCGGGCACTTTTCTAGCAACTCACCCTGTGAAGGAAGACCCCCAGTACCTGCACGCTTCCTCGGTAATACCCACTGTGCTGTGCGGCGTACCGGGGCACTCGGCTTGCCACCCTCACCTGTCTTCAAATTCAGACCGCACCGTGTCAGAACACACTAGCTTCATTTTAAGTGGTAGTGGATTTATACCAATGTAGTCACTCTAATCCAGACTCCTTTAGTGACCCAGTGACGTGGGCTGCAAGAAGGTTGTCCAAGTTGGGCAAAAGACCATGAAAGAAAACGATGTTCAGTGAAATATCTCAGTCACAAAAAGACAAAAACTGCATGAGGCCACTGTTATAAAAGAGGGTGACATCGGAGTTGGGGGGTGAGATTGAGAAAGAGGGGATAAATAATGTATACTGCATTGAAACAGATGAGGGAGAGAACTGTTTAAAAGGGATATATGATTAGGTATAATTGTCATGACAGGAGTCCAGAATGAAGGCTACATAGTGGAGTGGACTTGTGGGGAGGGATTGTAGAACAATGAAAGAATTTTTCTATTACTTTTCAAAGAGAAGAGCAAATTGGAGGGGGGAAGGTTTGGCAGGGAGAAAATTGCAACAGTGAGTGAATGGAAATCCAAAGTCTCTGTAAACTTACATTAAAATTAATATTAAAAAAAAGAGAGAGAACGCTGTTAACTTGCTCCAGCCAAGTAAACAAGTCAGTTGTGAACAGTGAAGAGAGGCTGCTGAGGAAAAAGGGACTCTCATTCACCTGAAGGTGAATGAAACCTGGGGCTTGAGATGAGCACGTCACGTCTTGTACGCAGACAGCCCAGTGTTGTCCACCAGCAAGGACCTTACACCTATGCTCAGTTAGGAATTACCTGGTAGAGCATAACTTTTCATATGGAAATATCTAGGCCACTGTTGTTTAACATCATATTATTCCACTTACAGGGTGTGGAGATGCTTCTGGAAATTCAGAAACAAGTTAACAAGACAATTGAAATGGTATGTGGAGAGTCTGTGGGATCTAGTTACCAACCCACACTTACACACCTTCTGTTATGCAATTTATAATTGATTTTGTAATCGAATCAATACAGGTTTTATTGATATGTAAAGATATTCATTTGCTTTGGTTTTCCCATATAAGCCAAGGGTATATGGTCCATCACTTAACTATTTCCTCAGATAGATTCTGAGGCAGCTGGATCTGTGCTACCATCATCCCCTAGGATTTTCAAAGTAAGAAAGGATTCGGCCCTTAGTACTGGAAGGGCAGCTTTACACAAGGTTAAGACCCACTCAATCCACACAGCCAAAGCTGAGCAGCAAAGGGTGGGGCGTCCCTCTCCAGGGCAAGTCAGAGGCACTGAGCCACCACTTGTCACCTCACCATCTCCCTTTAAGGCAGGGCTCAGTAATGTGGCAAGGCTGGCACTCAGAGAAGACCTCTCTCAGTGTCTTAAACATTTATTTTTGGATAGCACATTTGCAGAAAAGTGTAATGCCAGTACACTTTGTCATTCCAGAGTTTCCATCTGACTCACCCAGGTTCTTCCCAATGTTAACATGCTATATTACCATGAAAACTCATTGCCATTGAGTTGGAAGCAATTCATAGCTGATCCTCCAGTGGGTTTTCAGACACTGTAATGGCATGGGAGGAGATTGCCCATCTTCCTACTGTGGTGTTGGACAAGTGCACGGAATATCTTTGGACTGGCAAAAGAACAAACAGATATGTCTTGGAGAAGTTGTAGCCAGAGTGCTGTTTGGAGGCAAGGATGGTGACGCTTTGTCTGACATACTTTGGCATGTTGCTAGCAAAGGCTATTCCTTGGAGAAGGACATCATGCTTGGAAAGGTGGATGGATGGTGAAGGAGAGGAAGACCCTAAACCAGGTGGATTGACACAGTGACTGCAGCAATGGACCTGAGTGGTCAGAGATTGGGAGGATGGCACAGGATAAGACAGGGTTCAGATCTTTTGTTCATAGAGTCACTGTGAGGCTTAATTAACTCGTTAGCACCTAGCAACAACAACAATGGGCAGGAGAGCCTTTGAGAGAATACTAACTGAATACAAACAGATGTTTGTTTTTTTCATCGTTTAGCCATTATTTTTTATCTTTTTTATTATTATTAAATTTTATTAGTTTTAATGAACATTTACAG